TGTTTGCACTATAGTGAATACATGTTTCCGTATAGTTCATCAAGCAGGAACAAAAGGCGAGTTGTTGCAGCGGATAGCTCGTCACACAATGCATGAACTCGTCAGATGTATTTTCTCACATCTTCCAGATGTTAATGACACTGAACGTGCTTTGCTAAATGGAAGCAATACTGTCACGCAAGAGGTAATACTACTTTCAAAGTTTACATGTATTATAGGGGCTTAGAGGTGATCTGTTGATTATGGAGTGAAATAGTTAGTTGGTCTCGCAAATGTCCAATTTTAAGACTTTCTTTGTGAATGTGTGGTTGTTTTTCATGTGCAGATTGCAGGGCTAAATAATGAGTATTCTTTTGGGAATAGACAATTGGAGAATGGCAATGTGAGTTCTGGGTATGATGGTCAACCATTATCCACAAATCCGGCCTCGAATTCGTCCTCAGGCCTGGTAGCATCTGTGATTGATGAAAATAAAATCGGGGATTCTACTGGGAAGGATGCTGTTCAATACGACTTGCATCTCATGACTGAGCCATATGGAGTCCCCTGCATGGTGGAAATATTTCACTTTCTATGTTCTTTGTTAAATATTTCTGAGCATATGGGAATGGGTCCCAGATCTAATACCATAGAATTCGATGAAGATGTGCCTTTTTTTGCCTTGGTTTTGATTAATTCAGCTATAGAGTTGGGTGGATCTTACATTCAGAATCACCCCAAGTTATTGAGTTTGGTTCAGGATGAATTGTTTCGGAATCTGATGCAATTTGGCCTATCAACAAGTCCAATTATTCTTTCAATGGTATGCAGCATTGTTCTTAATTTGTATCATCATCTGCGCACTGAACTTAAATTACAGCTTGAGGCTTTCTTTTCTTGTGTGATATTGAGGCTTGCACAAAGTAGATATGGAGCTTCTTATCAGCAGCAGGAGGTTGCCATGGAGGCTCTTGTTGACTTCTGCAGGCAGAAAACTTTCATGGTGGAGATGTACGCTAACTTAGATTGTGACATAACTTGCAGTAATGTCTTTGAAGAACTTGCTAATCTGCTGTCGAAAAGTGCATTCCCTGTCAATTGCCCTTTGTCTTCGATTCACATTCTTGCTTTGGATGGTCTTATTGCTGTTATTCAGGGAATGGCAGAGAGGGTAGGGAATGGATCAGTTAGTTCTGCGCATACTCCAGTGCATCTTGAAGAGTATACTCCATTCTGGATGGTGAAGTGTGAAAACTACAGTGATCCTAGTGATTGGGTTCCATTTGTTCGCCGGAGGAAGTACATAAAGAGAAGGCTAATGATTGGAGCCGATCATTTTAACCGTGACCCAAAGAAAGGACTGGAGTTCCTCCAAGGAACACATCTCCTGCCTGACAAACTTGATCCGCAAAGTGTGGCCTGCTTTTTCAGGTACACTGCTGGGCTGGACAAGAATCTTGTTGGGGATTTCCTGGGAAATCATGATGAATTTTGTGTTCAGGTTCTTCATAAATTTGCTGGTACCTTTGATTTCCAAGATATGAACTTGGATACTGCACTGCGACTTTTTTTGGAGACGTTTCGGTTGCCTGGAGAATCTCAAAAGATACAAAGGGTTCTTGAAGCATTCTCAGAGAGATACTATGAGCAATCACCACTAATTCTAGCTAACAAGGATGCTGCTCTTCTGTTGTCTTATTCACTCATAATGCTGAATACAGATCAGCACAATGTTCAGGTAAAGAAGAAAATGACTGAGGAGGATTTCATTCGGAATAATAGACACATCAATGGAGGCAGTGATCTTCCTCGAGAATTCCTGTCAGAGCTTTACCACTCAATATGCAAGAATGAGATCCGCACAACTCCAGAGCAAGGTGCTGGTTATCCTGAAATGACGCCAAGCCGGTGGATTGATTTAATGCATAAATCCAAGAAGAATGCTCCATTCATTGTGTCTGATTCCAGAGCCTACCTGGACCATGATATGTTTGCTATAATGTCAGGCCCTACAATTGCTGCTATCTCTGTGGTATTTGATCATGCAGAGCATGAAGAGGTTTACCAAACATGCATTGATGGATTTTTAGCTGTTGCAAAGATTTCAGCATGCCATCATCTTGAAGATGTCCTGGATGATTTGGTTGTGTCTCTTTGTAAGTTCACAACCCTTTTAAACCCATCATCTGTTGAGGAACCTGTGCTAGCCTTTGGTGATGATGCAAAAGCTAGAATGGCAACTGTGACAGTTTTCACAATTGCCAATAGGTATGGTGATTACATTCGCACAGGTTGGAGAAATATTTTGGACTGCATCTTAAGATTACACAAGCTTGGTCTTCTTCCGGCTCGTGTGGCCAGTGATGCAGCTGATGAGTCAGAGTTCTCTGCTGACACAGGTCCCGGAAAGCCTATATCAAATTCTCTATCCTCTGTCCATATACCTTCCATAGGTACTCCGAGGAGATCCTCTGGATTGATGGGTCGGTTTAGTCAGCTCTTATCTCTTGAAACAGAGGAGCCAAGATCACAGCCTACTGAACAACAACTTGCTGCTCATCAGCGCACCCTTCAGACAATTCAAAAGTGCCACATTGACAGCATATTTACCGAGAGCAAGTTTTTGCAAGCTGAATCCCTGTTACAGCTTGCACGCGCACTGATTTGGGCTGCTGGCCGACCCCAAAAAGGGAACAGCTCTCCTGAGGATGAAGATACTGCAGTTTTCTGTTTGGAGTTGCTGATTGCTATCACCCTAAATAATAGGGATAGGATTGTGCTTCTATGGCAGGGGGTGTATGAGCACATATCCAGCATTGTTCAGTCAACTGTGATGCCTTGTGCTCTGGTAGAGAAGGCTGTTTTTGGACTTCTTCGCATTTGCCAGCGGCTACTTCCCTATAAGGAGAACCTTGCTGATGAACTTTTGAGGTCACTGCAGCTTGTGTTGAAGCTTGATGCTCGGGTTGCTGACGCTTACTGCGAGCAAATTACACAGGAAGTCAGTCGCCTTGTGAAAGCGAATGCCTCTCACATCAGATCCCAGCTGGGGTGGCGCACAATTACATCCTTGCTCTCCATCACAGCCCGGCACCCGGAGGCTTCTGAGTCGGGGTTTGATGCACTGTTCTTCATTATGTCTGAGGCAACCCACTTGTTGCCAGCCAATTATGCTCTCTGTGTTGATGCTTCACGGCAGTTTGCTGAATCTCGTGTTGGGCAGGCAGAGCGATCTGTATGCGCACTTGATCTTATGGCGGGTTCTGTTGATTGTTTAGCGAGGTGGGCCCGTGAGGCTAAGCAAGCCGTGAATGAGGAGGAAGTGGTGAAAATGTCTCAGGATATTGGGGAAATGTGGTTCCGGCTTGTTCAGGCACTGAGAAAAGTTTGTTTGGACCAGAGAGAAGATGTTAGGAACCATGCTTTGTCATTGTTGCAGAAGTGCTTGACAGGAGTGGATGGGATCCCTCTTCCACATAATCTGTGGTTACAGTGCTTTGATGTGGTGATCTTCACAATGCTTGATGACTTGCTTGAAATTGCACAGGGACACTCCCAAAAGGACTACCGCAACATGGAAGGCACACTTATCCTTGCCATGAAACTGTTGTCGAAAGTGTTTTTACAGCTACTACCTGACCTATCACAGCTAACAACCTTCTGCAAACTATGGCTGGGTGTTCTCAGCCGAATGGAAAAATACATGAAGGTGAAAGTTAGAGGGAAAAAAAGTGAGAAACTTCAGGACCAAGTGCCTGAGCTTCTGAAGAACACCTTGCTTGTGATGAATTTAAAGGGAGTGCTTGTACAAAGGAGTGCTCTAGGTGGAGATAGCTTGTGGGAGCTGACATGGCTACATGTCAATAACATTGCTCCAACCTTGCAATCCGAGGTTTTCCCTGACCAAATTTCAGAGCAGGCAGAGACTAAGCAGGGTGAAAATGGGGGAAGTCTAGTTTCTGATGAAACGGGTACCCTACTTCCAACTGAAATGGTGTCTGCAACTGGAGGTTAGCATGTTGTATAGTTGTTTGCAACTGGAACTGGTCTAGTTCGTGCATGATCATGACCACCAAGTAGTTATTTTACGAGGCATTCTGTTATGAAATTCAATATTTTAGAAAATGGCACAAGACATCTTAGGATTATTACAAAGGGAAATGATATACTGTGGTTTCGAAACCCAAGCGGGCTGGTCGTGTCTTTGTACTCATCTTCGTCTTCGTCCAAATGGTGTCCTCAACTTCGCCTCCAGATAACTTTGCTGCAGTATATTCCCATATGATAAATATAGTTTCTCTCTAAAGATAGCATATTTGTCTTGCCTTTGTAGTCAGCTGCTAGTGAAAGCCCTCTATGCTTTTGTACTGCCTTGTTCATCAATGTACATAGAGCTCAAGATTGCAACTTCTAAGCGATATTTTTTCTCGGCATGGAACCTCTAATTTCGCCGTCTTTGACATAGATTATTTCAGTTTCGTGCATTTCAAATTGTTGGTGCAATTGATAATTTTGATAGGAAAAATTTGACCTTATCCAATCATTTTCTGTTACTTTTCAGAGCATTTCTCATCTCCCAGTTTGTAAACTTACTAGTAAACTTTCTACCCCAAAAAAAAAACTTTCTGATAAACTTCCATTACCATCTCTCACCATTTTTTCTAGCAAGTGAATTTGAAGGATAGGCTTTTCTAGTTTATTAATTAATGATTTTCATTCAAAAGGACTAATAAGAAAAATGTAACGAATATAAAATACAAACTTTGATTTTGTAATCATCGATTGCGGATTTGAAGAAATTATTTTACATATCTATTGTCTAATGTGATATGCTGACTTAGTGTATCGAATTCACCTATAATTATAACTATGACATGGGTATATATATTAATATTTAAATATTAAATATTAAATTATTAGTTCGTAGTTAAGAGTATTTATTCATGTACTTCGCGAATTTATGACATGGCAATTTCTTTCACCATTTTCTTAAATTATAGAAAAAAAGAGAGGAGATTTTCATGGGCTTCAAGAAAAAAAATGAAAAATCACACGGTCCACATTTGAAGAGACACTAATACTATACTGCGAGCGAGAGATCTCACTCTGATGCCCCCCAAAAAAGAGCGCAACGCATTGTTTTTCAGTTGAATGACCGATCTGGTACCAAAGTGGTGGACGGGTCGAACCCGAAGCTAACAATTAGGGCCGGCAGAGACTGCGGATCGGATTTCAGAGGCTTCCGGCATGAGATCGCCGTCAATGTCCCAAGAAGGAGGACTGTTGGGTAGGTGCCCAAAATAATTTTCGAATTTGAATTCCCTTATCTCACCCAAATCTGAGGATTCAACATTGGAATTGCCAATGTCAAAATCAATACCAATTCCCTTTCCTCTGGGAGCTGATTAGCATATATTTTCCTTTTTAAAAGTTTTCCATTTATATAAGTTTGGAATTTAGATGATTTTGTTTGATTCCCTAGAATGTTATTTTTTTGTTAGTGGAAATTATTTATGAAGCATACTTTTCTTGTCAATTCTAGTGTGTAGATGATCTCGTGTTCATGTAAAGACATTTACATATTATGGGAAGTTATGGGTGTGGGAATTGGTTAGAGGGGTAATCAGGATAGGTTCTGGGCAGTCATGGTGGTGGTAATGGTTATGGTAGTTTAATTGTCTGCTTATGATATGATTGGGGAAGATTTGATTGAAGGCTTGGCTTCTCTATTTCTTGTTGCACTTCATTCAGCTTATTTCATATGTTGCATTTCTACTAGGTATGTTTGAGTACTTCCGTGGATCATGAGGGTATGCGACTTTGCATTCTCTACGTAGAAGTTGGTAAATACTGATAGAACTTGGGTTCTGTTCAAAGATGGGGCGTCTGAAGCTGCAAAATGGAATCAAGGCAATTGACGAAGAACCCAGGAACTGTGATGCAACATATTCTAAAAAAGATACTTTAGCATGCATCATTAATTCAGAAATAGGCGCTGTATTAGCGGTTATGAGGAGGAATGTAAGATGGGGAGGACATTATATATCAGGTGATGATCAGCTGGAACACCCTCTAATCCAATCTTTAAAGGTGTTACGGAAGCAAATATTTTCGTGGCAGCATCAGTTGCATACCATCAATCCTGCTGCATATCTTCAGCCATTTTTGGATGTGATTAGATCAGATGAAACTGGTGCGCCAATCACTGGTGTGGCGTTGTCATCTGTTTACAATATCTTAACGCTTGATGTGATCGATCAAAATTCCGTAAATGTTGAAGATTCCATGCAATTGTTAGTTGATGCGATCACTGGCTGCCGATTTGAGGTGACTGATCCTGCATCAGAAGAAGTGGTACTGATGAAGATACTACAGGTTCTTCTGGCTTGCATGAAGAGTACAGCGTCTGTTATATTGAGTAATCAGCATGTTTGCACTATAGTGAATACATGTTTCCGTATAGTCCATCAAGCAGGAACAAAAGGTGAGTTGTTGCAACGGATAGCTCGCCACACTATGCATGAACTGGTTAGATGTATTTTCTCACACCTTCCAGATGTTCAGAACACTGAACGTGCATTGTCAAATGGAAACAATACCATCAGTCGAGAGGTACTGTATCAACTCTGACATGTATTATTGGGTCTTAGCATAGACGATTTCTGCTGATTGTGGGTGCAAAACAAAAAATTGAACTTGATACCAGTCTTAAAAGCTCTATATATGTGTATGATTTTCTTTTCAAATGTATGGTGTTTTTCTTTTGCAGATTGCAGGGATAAATAATGAGTACCCTTCTGGGAGTAGACAATTGGAGAATGGCAACATGAGTTCTGAGTTTGACAGTCAGCTTTTATCCACAAATCCTGCTTTGAATGCTTCCTCAGGTCTTGTAGAATCTGGGATGGATGAAAAGACAACTGGGGCTTCTAGTGGGAAGGAGGCTGTTCAATATGATTCGCGTCTCATGGCTGAGCCGTTTGGGGTCCCCTGTATGGTGGAAATATTTAACTTTCTGTGCTCTTTGTTAAATGTGGTCGAGCATATCGGTATGGGTCCCAGATCTAATACCATATCGTTTGATGAAGATGTGCCTCTTTTTGCCTTGGGATTGGTTAATTCTGCAATAGAGTTGGGTGGGTCCTCAATTCAGAACCACCCCAAGTTATTAAGTTTGGTTCAGGATGAATTGTTTCAAAATCTGATGCAGTTTGGCCTATCAACGAGTCCACTTATTCTTTCAATGGTATGCAGCATTGTTCTCAATTTGTATCACCATCTGCGCACTGAACTAAAGCTACAGCTTGAGGCATTCTTTTCTTGCGTGATATTGAGGCTTGCGCAAAGCAGGTATGGGGCTTCTTATCAGCAGCAAGAGGTTGCCATGGAGGCTGTTGTTGACTTCTGCAGGCAGAAAACCTTCATGGTGGAGATGTACGCTAACTTAGATTGTGACATAACCTGCAGTAATGCCTTTGAAGACCTTGCTAATCTGTTGTCAAAGAGTGCATTCCCTGTTAATTTCCCATTGTCTTCAATTCACATTCTTGCTTTGGATGGTCTTATTGCTATTATTCAGGGAATGGCAGAGAGGTCAGGTAACGGATCAGTTAGTTCTGCTGAGACTCTCACGAATCTTGAAGAGTATACCCCATTCTGGTTGATGAAGTGTGACGACTACAGTGATCCTGCTCATTGGGTTCCATTTGTTCGCCGAAGGAAATACATAAAGAGAAGGCTGATGATTGGAGCCGATCATTTTAACCATGACCCAAAGAAAGGGCTGGAGTTCCTGCAAGGAACTCATCTCTTGCCTGACAAACTTGATCCTGAAAGCGTGGCCTGTTTTTTCAGGTACACTTCTGGGTTGGACAAGAATCTTGTTGGGGATTTCCTGGGAAACCATGATGAGTTTTGTATTCAGGTTCTTCATGAATTTGCTGGTACCTTTGATTTTCAAGATATGAATTTGGATACTGCTCTCCGACTTTTTTTGGAGACGTTTCGGCTGCCTGGAGAATCACAAAAGATACAAAGGGTGCTTGAAGCGTTCTCAGAGAGATATTATGAGCAATCACCACAAATTCTAGCTAACAAGGATGCTGCCCTCCTGCTATCATATTCGATTATAATGCTGAACACAGATCGACACAATGTTCAGGTAAAGAAGAAGATGACGGAGGAGGATTTCATTCGGAATAATCGGCACATCAATGGAGGTGATGATCTACCTCGAGAATTCCTGTCAGAGCTTTACCACTCAATATGCAAGAATGAGATCCGCACAACTCCTGAACAAGGCGCTAGTTTTCCTGAAATGACCCCAAGCCGTTGGATTGATTTAATACACAAATCCAAGAAGAACGCTCCATTCATTGTATCCAATTTCAGACCCCACCTTGACCAGGATATGTTTGCTATAATGTCGGGCCCTACAATTGCTGCCATCTCTGTGGTATTTGATCATGCAGAACATGAAGAGATTTACCAAACATGCATTGATGGATTTTTATCTGTTGCAAAGATTGCAGCATGCTATCATCTTGAAGATGTGCTGGACGACCTGGTTGTGTCTCTTTGTAAGTTCACAACCCTTTTAAACCCATCTGTTGATGAACCTGTGTTGGCGTTTGGTGATGACCCAAAAGCTAGAATGTCAACTGTGACCGTTTTCACAATTGCCAATACATATGGTGATTACATTCGCACGGGTTGGAGAAACGTTCTTGACTGTATCTTAAGATTACACAAGCTTGGTCTTCTTTCAGCTCGTGTAGCCAGTGAAGCAGCTGGTGATTCGGAGGTTTCCGCTGACACAGGTCATGGCAACCCCATAACCAATTCTCTATCTTCTGTTCATATGCCCTCTGTGAGTACTCCTAGGAGATCCTCTGGATTGATGGGCCGGTTTAGTCAGCTCCTATCTCTTGACACAGAGGAGCCGAGATCGCAGCCTACTGAAGAAGAACTTGCTGCTCATCAACGCACCCTTCAGACAGTTCAAAAGTGCCACATTGATGGCATTTTTTCTGATAGCAAGTTTCTGCAGGCTGAATCCCTCTTGCAACTTGCACAAGCACTGATCTGGGCTGGAGGACGACCCCACAAAGGGGGCAGCTCACCCGAGGAGGAAGATACTGGAGTTTTTTGTTTGGAGTTGCTGATTGCTATTACCTTAAATAATAGGGATAGGATTATGCTTCTTTGGCAGATTGTGTATGAGCACATATCAAACATTGTTCAGTCAACTGTGATGCCTTGTGCGCTGGTAGAGAAGGCTGTTTTTGGTCTTCTTCGGATTTGCCAGCGGCTGCTTCCCTATAAAGAGAACCTTGCGGATGAACTTTTGAGGTCACTGCAACTCGTCTTGAAGCTTGATGCACGGGTTGCTGATGCATACTGTGAGCAAATTACACAGGAAGTCGGCCGCCTTGTGAAAGCAAATGCCTCTCACATAAGATCACAGTTGGGGTGGCGCATAATTACGTCATTGCTCTCAATCACTGCTCGGCACCCGGAAGCTTCTGAGGCTGGATTTGATGCGCTGTTCTTCATTATGTCTGATGGTACTCACTTGTTGCCAGCCAATTATGTTCTATGTGTTGATGCATCAAGACAGTTTGCTGAGTCTCGTGTTGGGGAGGTAGAGCGATCGGTGTGTGCACTTGATCTAATGGCGGGATCTGTTGATTGTTTAGCAAGGTGGGTATGTGAGGCTAAGCAATCTATGAATGATGAGGAAGCTGTGAAAATGTCTCAAGATATCGGGGAAATGTGGTTGCGGCTTGTTCAGGGATTGAGAAAAGTTTGTTTAGACCAGAGAGAAGAGGTTAGGAACCATGCTCTGTCCTTGTTACGGAAGTGCTTGACTGGAGTGGATGGGATCCCTCTTCCTCCTGGTCTTTGGTTGCAGTGCTTTGATATGGTGATCTTCACAATGCTTGATGAGTTGCTTGAAATTGCACAGAGACACTCCCCAAAGGACTACCGGAACATGGAAGGCACACTTATCCTTGCCTTGAAGCTCTTGTCCAAAGTTTTTCTGCAGCTACTACCTGACCTATCACAGTTAACAACTTTCTGCAAATTATGGCTGGGCGTTCTCAGTCGAATGGAAAAATATATGAAGGGGAAAGTTGGGGGGAAGAAAAGTGATAAGCTTCAGGACCAAGTACCTGAGCTACTTAAGAACACCTTGCTTGTAATGATTTTAAGGGGAGTTCTTGTGGAGAGAAGTGATTTAGGAGATGATAGCTTGTGGGAGCTGACATGGCAACATGTAAATAACATTGCTCCATCCTTGCAATCTGAGATTTTCCGTGATCCAATTTTAGAGCAGTCAGAGACTAAACAAGGAGAAACAGGAGGAGTTTCTCAAGCAACTGGTACTTTACTTCCAACTGATACGACTTCTGCTGAAGGTTCCGGCAGTTAAGGTTAGAGTGTTGTATAGTCGTTGCAACTAGAGCTGGTATTGGTAATGCATGGTAATAAGCACCCATGATCATGACCATTGAGTAGTACACAGGGAGCCGGTCGTGTTCTGAAGTTCAACGATATAGAAACTAGCGGGCGGCCCTGCTAATTTGATGTTATATAACCGAGGGAACTGCTATACTATACCTAGAGGTTTGGAAGCCCAAGCGGATCGATCTTTATATTACTACTCATCTTCAACTTGCTTAAATTGGTGTGCTCATCTTTGCCTCCACATAACTTTTTGTTGTAGTGTATTCGCCAGATGAATATTTGGTTTTGTCTAAAGATATCTATCATCATATTTGGCTTCTTAGGCTTTTGGACTTCCCCACCCCAATTTTTGTTATATTGAGAATCTGGAAGTGAAGGACTGATTTCTACCCAGAGTGGTGAAATTTTTATTTTCATTTTTGTATTGATTTATTCAACAATGTACAGAAAAGAACTCGAGATTGCCATTTCTAAATAGTATTTTTCCTTAGCTTGGAACCCTTGTTTGTGCCTATGGTATTGAATTGAATTGCTTGAGGAGTTCGAGTTGAGTATCAACTTTATTTTGGTACGGTCTCCTAACAAACAATTATGCTTTTAAACTCATTTTGCAACTTTGAGCTTCTTCTCACCCTACTTAACTCATTCCACTTAATTAAGTTAAAGCCGACCAAATTTGACTTAAAAGTGGTTAAAGCCACCAATATTTACTCAAGCCGGTGCCAAAGCCACCAATTTCCCAATGCTTTTTACGAGGGGCTAAGGTTTTTGTTTTTTTCGTTCAGACAAGGGGCTTAGGTTAGGACCAGATGGGTTGAAAAATGTAAAAGAAAATGACATTTCGTGAAGAAATTGGTATGGTGACATGAGTTGGGGGGCTTTGAGATTGTAATGTCAATACTGTATGGCCCGCCAAGTCATTTCATCCACAATGTTATATGAAAATTTCTTATATGTATCATGTATGTAGGAGTAAATCTGCTCAAAATTTATGAGTTAATTTATGATAGGGGGGTTTTGGTTTTAGTAGATAAAAATCTTATCCTAAGAGTTTTCAAATCTTATCCTAGGGCTTCCCTTTGTTCGTGAATCCCTTTATTCGTGAATAAGAACACACATTCCCTTTATTCGTGAATAAGAACACACCCCAAATGAAAGTTCTTGCATCGCATACAATTCCCTTTATTCGTGAATAAGAACACACCCCAAATGAAAGTTCTTGCATCGCATACAATAGGGCCAGGGGTTTTAATTACAAATCCATATTCATTTTGTTTATTTATGGTCAATGGGTAATGTTCGATTGAAACTAAAAGATGAATGGATAAATATGCAAAGCAATATGCTTGTTGGGTCAGGTCAGCCCGGTCAGGGTCATTCACTGGTATTCAAGTACAAGTGTAGGTAAAGTCTTCCAGCGAGACCTTAAAGATCGTAGAAACCTGTCACCAGGACACACACACAACACAGGACAAGTTTGGTCATAAGCCCACATCAACTTTTCAATACAGCACAGCGCAGCACAGCACAGTCACAGACTCACAGTGGTCACCCACCGGCTGGCCTTGGTAAAGCAAAAAAGAAAAAGATCCTCTGTATACAAAATACAATGGCAATTTGGTACACTCTCAAATGAAATGGAACTTTGTTTTTCATTTCTCATTTGTTCTTCTATTTACTGCAGTTACTTAATGGTCTAGGCTCTGCTTGTAATTACATTTTAGACCTTACATAATAAAACAGTCTACGAGATAAACATTAACATTGTACACCCAAAAGTTACAGCAGCAGATAAAGCAAGAGAGACATTGCAATTTGCAATTTGCAATTTGCAATTTGCAATGCCCTCTCTCTCTCTCTCTCTCTCTCTCTCTTTCTGTATGTCATATGTATGGGTGGCTGATTGGGGTTAAGTCTCTTCTCTTCTGGCTCGGTTTTTTTGGCGGTGATGTTCCAGACCTTGGCATTCGATACCTTGTCGGGACTCGCAGACAGTGACGTGTTCCCACTACTCTATGCGCACGTTACCCCACACCCACACCTCTCCCCTTCTCTCTCTCTCTCTCTCTCTCTCTCTGTAGAGAGAAAAAAAGATAAAGTCCCAACTCTTAAGCTTCCTTGCACACATCCCCTGTACCTTTCCACCACCATTGCAGTCCATCTAGTCAAATCACAACCCCACACGTCACCAAAAAGGGGCACTTCAGTAATTTCACGAACCCAAGACGCTGTTTTTTCCTCATGGTTGGTTCGTTGCGGTTGGCGAGTCCACATGGGTATTGAAGAGTGAGAGTGTGGAGTGTAGAAACTCACTCAACTTGGAGCTCGGAACTTGTACAGGAACCAAACACCGTTTACCAGAGACAAGAGAAAACCAGGCTCTGCAAAACCGCCTTTTTTTCTTTTTCTTTTTCTTTTTCTTTTTCTTACAGAGATTTATTAGATAGATATAGGTACAGTGAGTGATGCTGCAGGAAGTGTTATCGTACGCCAGGGAGCGTTGGGACACTTAACGTACGCCCCGCAGCCCCAGAAATGGTAAAAAGGTTCAGACTTTGCAGCAGCAGAAGAGAGAGAGAGAGTCTTCAATGCTCAAAATACGGATGAGGCAGGCCCCTACTACACAAACACAATCTTGGGTTAGTTTGCTCGTACTAACCAACCAGAGATTCTCCACTATTGAAAGCAACCGAGGTCTAAGGAAGCTGCTTGCTTGAGGCTTACCTTACCACAGAGAAGAAACACAACAACACAAGGCATGCACTTTGGTCTTTGTGGTTGTAGTACCTACCTAAAATACACGTATATTATATATATATATATATGTATATATAGTAGCTAGCAGACATGGACGATGGTGTTGTCAGCTAAAATAGGTGAATCTTTGTCTACTTTCTGGCTGGGGGGTTTTGAAGAGCGTTGAGGTTAGATCGTTGGTGAATGTTATTTGGTTTAAAGAAGTGGGTTTTGGGTAGTTGGATTTTAAATGTTGTTGGTTGGATCTGATTCTGGGATTTGGACAAGGTGAATGTTGTTAGGGTTTTCATGCAGAAAAACAACAAGGGGAGAGATAGATTTGGCTAGGTGGGTTTGGGTGAGGTTATGGATTGTATCTGTTGGATTTGAGGATTGTTTTTTTATTTATTACTTATCAGGGAAATCTCAATCTAAGACACTACACTGCTCTCTACAGCAACAGCAACCAAACAAAGAACAAGAAGGAGAGAGAGAGAGAGAGAGAGAGAGAGAGAGAGGAGGTGTGTAATAAGAGAGGCTAAAGATTTGATCCTTTGCCTTCCTTAATTAGCTAGCTTGGTGCTTGTCGTCATCCAATTCAAACCAACCAAAAACAGAAAGAGTGTAAAGACAGGAGCTTTGTTTGGTTCTCTCTGGGATTTGTTTCCTTTCTTGCTTGGATTTGGATTTGGAGTTTTGGGTTTTCTCCCTTCTAAGATTTAGAAATCAATGGCGAATCGATGGTGGGCTGGAAATGCAGCCATGGGAGGAGGGCATGTGGACTCAATCTCCTCAACTCCTCCATCTCTTCACCTCAGAAGCACAGAAGAACAGCTCGACGACCACAACACCACCAACACTCCCACTAACAGCAGCACCAGCAACCCCACAACAACCCCTCACAAGCAAAACCACGAACACCACGAAGATGGTCGGGACAACAACGATCTCGAAGCTGATAATCAGGACCCCAACACTGGCAGCGGCAGCCAGGACAGCCTCGAGCCGGGAAGCAGCAACCGGAGACCGCGTGGCAGACCTCCCGGATCGAAAAACAAGCCCAAACCGCCAATAATCATCACCAAAGAGAGCCCCAACGCGCTCCGGAGCCACGTCCTGGAAATCAGCAGCGGCAGCGACATTGTGGACAGCATTGCCACCTTTGCCCAAAGGCGGCATAGAGGGGTTTCGGTTCTGAGTGGAAGCGGCATTGTCGCCAATGTAACTCTACGACATCCTGCAGCACCAAGTGGAGTGATCACACTGCACGGGAGGTTCGAGATTTTGTCGTTGTCGGGTGCCTTCCTGCCCTCTCCCTCCCCACCCGGGGCGACGGGGCTGACCGTGTACTTGGCCGGTGGACAGGGGCAGGTGGTGGGCGGGACCGTGATGGGGGCATTGGTGGCTTCAGGCCCTGTGATGGTCATTGCGGCGACATTTACAAACGCGACTTACGAGAGGTTGCCGCTTGAGGATGAGCAAGCTGGAGAAGGAGGGATGCAGGTGCAGCAACAACAGCAGCAGCAGCAACAATCAGGTGTGAATTCGGCAGGGACTGGGGGGAATTCAGGTTCTCAAGGTTTGGGTGAACATACTAGTTCAATGGCCATGTATAATTTGCCTCCAAATTTGCTTCCAAATGGTCAGATGCCTCCTGATGTGTTTTGGGGACCTCCTCCTCCCAGACCCCCTCCTCCATCCTATTGAGAGAACGGGTTTAGGGTGCTTGGTTTCATCACTGACTCTTTTTTTTTTTTTTTTTTTGGTGTTTTTGTGCAAAATGTTTTGGCAGCTTTTTGTAGGCATAGCAAGCGAGGTAGGACTATTTTGTTTATTATCTTTTGCTTGTGAATCACTGAATCTCAATGTTTTTAGCTTCTTGTTAGGTTTTCTTGAGTAGCTATGTTTCAAAACTGGTGGATCATCATGGATGTTACCTTTGTTCCTTTCGTTTAATCTTCTTGTGGAAGAATACATTAATGATGGTGTAGGCAAAGAAGAAAATAGTGCAGAAATGGGGGTTTGGATTGGAGCTATTGAAATTTCATGGCAAAGTGTTTGTGAAATTCTCCCTTTATGGTAAGCCTTCCAAATATTTTATCTTTGCATTCAGTAATAATTTATGTAACCAGAACAACAATAATGCCTAGAAAGCATATTGTCATATCTTTATATCTCCAACTTTATAAATTATTATGTATATCTTATCTTCATTCGAGTTTGTCAGCTGGTGGGGTTAATTCATCTGCATCTTGCCGGAAATAGGTCTCGTTTCATGCATAGTTAGATGCAAGTTGAATTGCAGGTTAAGTGCATGGTCTGACATGATCATTATGGATGATTTGGATAGTTGCCATAAGAGAGCAAGTTGTTATAGATATGCTTTATGCTTGCCGGGGCTTTAGGGTTTTTATGGCATTATGATTTGATGGGTCAGCAGATTTGACCCAAGTATAGAGAATTGTCATTTGGTCACAGACAACTGTTTAGGAACCCTCTCCAATCTTCTCGCGTCTTTCATTACTTGTCTTTGGAATCAAATTCTTACTGTGGTAGCCCCAAACTTACATCATTGATTATTCTCTAATTAAACATACTTTGTCTTGCTTCTTATTGGAAGCAAAAGATGGCGGCAATATCTCCTGTCTTCTAGAATTAAGCAAGAGGGAACCAATGGTCTGTCAATTAATTGCATTTAACTAGTGGCTTTTTGACCAATGTTGAGCACTGAGACACTTTAGCTGTGATGGAGATTTAGAGATCACAGATTCTTAGTGTTCAAATATCTTGAGCGTAAGTTCATGTTTTTCCCTTTCCTTTTTTTTTTAAATTTTTTCACAGCAATTGTCAAGTTGTTGAAGAGTAACAAGAAACTTGGATATGCAAATTTTTTAGATGGATATGTGTTGAGTGTAGATTTAGACCTTTTATTGTTGGTACTCTCCTTTCTTTCACACTTATTTAACTTTGAACAAGTTGTGAAGAAATTGCTGAAGACTTCATTCTTTTAGGTCATCAAGTAGTTAATTGGAATTAATTTCCCCTCATATGTAAGCATACAAATAATTACTAACTTATGTTCAAACCTTGGATTGATATGCATTTTAATTACATATGTGCCATTTTAATTATAATTTTTTTTCTTCTTCCAGGAAATCTAAATCATTTGTTAAAAGTGAGAGATTAGATTTTACTTTTCTAATCAAGTTCAAACCTTGTAATGCTTATATAGAAGTTGGCAAAGAAAAAAAATGGAAAGAAAAGACTCGGGAAATTTATTAGATTTGTCATATGCATGATATCATTTACAGAAATAGTTTGCATTATTATGGAAGAGTGACATTGAATTTTGAGGGTTTTTTTCCCCCTCAAGTTTGGTCAAGGATGGTTTGGTTTTCCAAGTTGGTAACTGATATTGAAAAGTTACAGATAGGCCAAGAAGTGGTTATTTATTATCTTTAAATGTTTGGTTGGAAGTCTTTTGACTTCTGCTACCCAAGATGTTATTGTTCTTTCACTGATTGGCATGAATTTAATTGACGGAACTTGAGATGATGAAAAATAAATCAAAGTGTAAGAACATGATTGATGAGTTGTTGTGAAAGAGAGTTTCAAACTACTTCATTGAATGAAAACCTTGAACTATTTGCCATTATCTTCCAACCTTTTTGCATCAAGACAACGATGTTCCATTTTCCTCATATATGTTGTTAGGTTTGTGTGACCATTTGGAATAGTTGGTTTGATTTGATTGAGTAAAGTCTACAGGAAAAAAACAGATAAAACCATTGTCTGATTCAAGTCTGATAGTTGCACAAATTGCTTTAAATTGGTGTCCATTTCTTTTCTGCCAAGCAACTTGAATGATCTTAAGCTTCTGGTTCTTGCCAACTTCTCTATTGTTTATGAGTTGATATAAATTCTAGAAATTCTCGTCTTCTTACCAAAAAAAAATAGGGGGTCTTGCCAACTTTTCTATTGTTTATGAGTTGATATACTCGGCCAAGACTTTTGTGTCCAAACAGGGCTGGGTCCCTGGCCATTAGCTTCTAGAAGTGAAGCGAAGTTGGACCAGTTTGGGCTAGCCAGTTTATGTGGGATAAGAACAAGAACAATAGTATTCTCATTCTGATCTTTCGTCTTATACAGCCCAGTCTTTCTGCGTGTCTTAAGTAGACTTGGTCCATATAGATTAGGTCCCATTGCAGGCCTAGGAATGTTTTTTACTGCGATAAAAAAGTTCCACGGATGAAAGAGAAGCAATATAAATGAAGGGGGATAAGATTTATATTGCCCCCCTTCATTAATGAAGGGGGATAAGAAGGGCTCAATCTCTTTGACCAAAAAAAAAAAGAAAAAGAAAGGGGATAAGAAAGGCTCAATCTCTTTGACCAAAAGAAAAAGAAAAAGAAAAAGAAAGGCTCAATCTTACAAATCATCGACATCAGCATAGCCATGTTGGCTAGAATGGATGTGCTTCCCACTATGCACCTGAATTCGAATCATCATTTCTCTAGTTTAGATTGGTTTAGAGTAGAATATCGTTTGTATAAGTAAAAAAAATTATCAACGTCAAAGTAGTAAATTAACAAAGTCTATCCTTCAAAGAGAAAAAAGAAAAAGAAAACCCTAATGAGAAAGGAAATTTCAGAAAACAAAGAACATAGAATGTATGGTATATTTGGATTTAAAAAAAATTAAAGACAAAAAAGAATGCATGGTTTATGCCTGCCTTTCCATTAAGAAAAACTTTGAAAATTATCATATATCAAACATTAAATTTGAATTTGATAACTTATGTGGTAATTTGATATACAATAGAGTTTTAGAGCATCTCCAACCGATATGTCAAAAGTGCCACATCGATATTTAATGGCTAAAAATAACATCTCACATCACTTCAACCGATATGTCAAAGCTAATGTGGAATGAAGGTTGGAGGTTGAGATGTTATTTTTGACATTCCAAAAGCAAGATGTCAAATGAATATTTTATTATTTATTTTCTTTTTAATTAAAAATAAATCAACACCAAAATATAATAAAATAATAATTTAATTTGACATATCAAGTGGAGTGTAAAACTGTGTAAAGTTAATGTGGAATGAAGGTTACATCCACCCGATATGTCAAGTTAAAATATTATTTTATTACATATTATTTATTAGTTTACAACAATCACAAGGTCATTAATTAAAAAATAATAATAAAATAACAGCAAGAGAGAGATGTTATTCCAAATAGGATTTAACATTTTGGTTGGAGTGAGTCTCAGCTTATTTTTCTACCTGTTGGATTTAATATCACCCTTAAAGATGCGCTTGGGGCTCTCCTGACCACCGTGTGGCTGCCACGGCTGGTGGCTTCAACGCCCACATCTAGTAATACTCGGTGCTTATTACAACACTTTTGATCTGTACTAGTCAAACATTATTATTATTATTATTACTACTATTATTATTTTAAAAAGTGCTTTTAGTTATTTAAAAGCACTTTTAACACTGTCATCATGAGCAATGAGCATTATCAAACGCAGCGTTAATCAAACACTCAGAAATGACCACAAAGGTTGGCGTTCTCTTGTAGTATAAAGCAGAATAAAGGGTTCATGTCTAATATGATCCAGGAAAAGGGTTTTGTTGAAATACAATCTACGAATAATTGCGGAACCAAAAAAACACAAAAAAGGCAAGATATATACCATAAATAGAAGGATGCTTACCTGATATAGAAGGAGCATATTCACAGAAAAACTACCAAATCCAACAACTTTGACAAGCTGAGCGGATGAAGAAAACCAAAAGAAGGAAAAGACTCACAAACTTTGGCCATTTGACCAGATTGCAAAATCATGGCTTCTAGGCCAGTACAAAATTTGTCCTCTCCTAGACATATGGATTTCTGACATTGGATTAGCTCCTGCTTTTTCTTTTGAAAGCTAATATAAATCCCAACTAGAACCTTTATTATAGTTCCTGGTGTTGGCAGTCTCATTCAACCATGGATTATGTCCCAAGTTCTCTCGGGGACTTTCAAGAAATCTCTCTAAAGGGTCAGGCACAGACTGATCACCAAATAGGTTTAATTCTTCCCATTCATGCAAAGGAGGCATCTGTATATCCATCTGACTGTTAAATCCCTGGTTGGCAGTTGCATTTTCCATAACGGGAAGTAGTAGCGGTTCTGGTAATTGACTCTGAAGATATTGTGTCTCAACAGCATCATGTTGTGAAAATACTTGTAGCTCACTGAATGAGTTACTTGAATGGCCAGTTGCAAAATTAACCATTTGGTTCCCGAGAGTTTCGATCTCCTCTTGTAAGTAGGCGACCTGCAAGGTAAGATCAAACGATAAATGGTGCATGAAATTTGGTATGACAGGTATAAGTGAGAAGCTGGAGTGATTAGCAGCATGGGAACCTGTTGTTGGAGTGCAAAGATTTGTGAGAAACATCCATACACAGGGTCGCGCATTCGAGCTAGTGCTTCATAAGACATGGTGATAGCAGCATCACTTCGATTTTGTACCGGTAAGTGTAACAGCAGCTTGGACACATTGCTTGCACCAAACACCTTGTGCACTGCTGCAAAATGGTCTGCAGCTTGGTCATAGCAGAAGTAAGGAACAAACACACATTCACCTGTGCATTTTCTCCTCAGGAACTTGCATGCTCCACATGAAGAGCCCAATCCTGTCATAGTCCTAAGCTTTTAGTACTAATCTCTGTGTCTAGGATTTTCTTCAGGTGGTACTATAATTTGATGACTGGTTCATATCCGAAGTTCAGATTTAGTCTTTATAGCCTTCACTTAAAAGGGTTAGAAGTATTCCTTTTGTTTTGTACAGAGGACATTCTCACTTTATGAAAAGTATTGTCTTTTGGGTCTCCTTTATGGGGTGCATCATCAATCACAAACCCGATTGATTAATGCCTCTAAAGGTCTTCATTCTTAAAGAATCTTGAAGAATGAGAGTATTTGATGGAAGACCTAATCATTATCCTCATAAGTTGGGCTCTAAAAATGAGAGATCATTGCTTTAATTAGTACATATTATGCTTGAATATCTAGTGGAGGCAAGTACAATGGCTATACTTTTCTTTCTCATATATGGAATGCCTTATCTCACTTTATTTCTGATATAAATAAAAAGTATATCTTGCCCAAGGGAACACTAATGAGAGAAAGTATGAGAGAGGGTATTTCACTTTTTAGACTTGATTAGAATTAATGTACACCACGCTGACTGATTAGAGCATCTTGAATGGAGATGTCAAATACAAAATACTTAATTTGAATTTAATGGCTGACGTGGCTATTTGACATGTTGTAGAACTCTATACTCCACCCGAAATGTTAAAAAAAAATACTATTATTTTATATTATTTTTCAATGGATTTAAAAAAACACTAAAAGCTGGTGGGACCAAAAGAATAAAAAAAAATCCAATGGCACCAATCAAAGACAACAAACAGTAATAGTAATTAGAACTAAGTGGGGCCAATGGAAATTAAAAATTCAAAACAAGGAAATAACGCCTCAATATGTTGGCGTCAATTTTGACGTCTTTGCTCCAGCCTTCTTTTCCATGTCAGCAATGACAACTCGGTTGGATCTCCAAGCAACTTCAATTGTTACTGTTTGTCATGCCACCTGTCATTTAAATGGTCGGTTGGAGATGCTCTAACTTTGCTGATTATGGCTTTTGGATACATATCAATTAATCTGGTTTATGTATGAGCATAACTGATGGGGATCGGGGTCCAAACATAGATCACCAACAACATACATGAACACCGAATTCTCGGGCTAGTGCAAACTCACATATATCATAGCAAATTCATGCCAAAAATAAACTATTTCAATAATCATCAACAAAAACCCCTCCAACTATTACATTAGCCTTATTTATAGGTTTTACAAGACTTGGGCACCAAGGCTACTTGGTCCAAAAGTAAACTAATTAATTATAAAATCACACATAAATAATAAAAGATATCCTAAAACTACCTGAATAATAAAATAACAATATCTCATGAAATAACAAATTAAATGGTAATATATGTCTTGATCCACCCCCTATGCTCCTGCATCAATAACCCAACTCAACTTGGCATGTTTACTAATCTGTAATCGGGTGAGGCGGAATTGAATTGAGGAGGAGTTAGAATCCGGATTTCTTTGAATTTGTTTACTAAACTATTTGGAATCAGGGTTGGTGAGGATACAATAGGTAGAAAGATATGAATTCCTGATGGGTTTGTTCTCTAGGAGTCATAATACCACCTCCCACCCATCCAAGAGTCCAATTCCTCCAAACTCAGGATTCATGATTTTGTGTGAGCCCTACGTACATCTTCTTTCCTTGATGTAAAGTAAACACATGAGTAATCTGTAATTGGAGTCCAACCCCTTATTTTAATTTCGATTACAGATTAATAAACACACCATTAAATAAATCAACAAATTAGCTTAGTCAAATTGTAAGGGCTACAAATATTGAATTGAACTACTCTGGTATAGCAGGCCATAGAATTCTCCTCTATCTCCACTTACTAGGGCAGCTCTTCGACAAGTCGACGAGCCAGTGCATGAGGAGCTTATGAGAAACATGTAGCAAGTTATTATATACCTTGAGTCAAAATCAAATGATGGGTTGGTGGATTTCGGCTATGTCATACTTTCTTTTTCTTAACAAATGAGACTAAATTTTCACATTGTCTTATTAAAGCTAGCTTCATAGCTTAGGGATTGGATATATGGCCTGTGACTCATGGCGTCTGTTTGTCTGTATGTTACCAATTCTCCATTATTAAGCTTATTTTTAATCCATAATGCATGCCTTAAGTCTCCATGTCCATATTTTAATTCTACATTATCAGGTTGGCTGTTGGCCACTTAATTAAGAGTCGGTGCTAAGAGGACTGTTCTTGTCTTTGGAACACCACAAAAAGCTCTGAAACAGCAAGCTGCCAATGCCCCCAAAGCCCAAGAAACAGGAGATTAACCAGTAGCTTATCTGGAAAGAGTTGTAATTGCTTAAACTTCTACTGCTGCCTTAAGCCTATATGCATGCTTCAGGGCTCTAGGACTTAAAAAGCATACTTGGGCTAATGGAAGAGAGAGAGTTAGGGAGACAAAATGCCATTTGCAGTAAAATGAACTTCTACTTTAAGTCATTTCACAACTGTGAGAACTTTGGCTTTAAGTGAAGTAGATGCATGAGAAAGGAATGTTAGGGGGGGGGGGGGGG